GTTCCAGGAGCCTGGCAGGGATATCAGGCTTGTCCTGGTTACTCTGATTGTCTGCACTTCATTCATTTCCTAGAAATTCCTAAACCTGTAGGCTTATGGGACATGTGCCTTGGGGCAAGTTCTGAGGGCATCCTCTGGCCAAGTATCAGCACTGCTGAGGGGAGGTATCTATTCACAGGAGCTGCCATCCATGGGACTGCCCACAGGAGCCCCTGGGGAATCTAGTGGGCTCTCCAAAACCAAAACTCTCAAACAGTTTGCTGTTTGAGAGTTTTGGTTTTGGAGAGCCCACTCTTTCCTAAACTTTTAATTTATATATCAATATTTTTAGTTTTTATTATTTTTATTTAAGTATAGTTAGAATCCAATATGTTATTAGTTTCAGGTGTGTAATAAAGTGACTCAATGACTCAGTGACAGCTGAGGTACTTACCATGACAATAGATGAGATGATAACAAGCTTAGACAACTTACTGCTTTCTCATATCAACTTTGCTTCTATAGATATAAACTAGAAAGTAGGGTATTTTGTTTGACTTTACATTCATTGAATCTTTCAACCCTCTTTAGTGAAGATTAGATTCAGAAATTGAGAAAAATTAGTTAAATCAATGGAGCTTCTCTCTGAGGAAAATAATTGGAATCCTTCACAATTTAGATTATCATAGAGGTTAACTAGAACTGTTTTAGTTGTATTGTGTTAGTCAAAAAAGGGGTCCAGGCTGTAATTAACAACAAAAAAATATTTATCTGAACAAAAGGAGTTACAATCCTGGAGATACAGATGCAGGTGGAAATTTAAATTGTTTCCCAGAGAGAACAAAAAAAGCACAGGATTAAAAAAAAACACCACAAAACACAAAATTTATTTGTTTCATGTAAAGAAATGATTGTTGTCTAGGTTACTAGGGATTTATGCAATATACAAGCAAGGGAGGCAAAGACTAGAAGGAGGAAGTTGAGCCAATATGCGTTCGTGCAGCAAGTGGTATTCCGGGACGTTTATGAATCAGCCTGGAGCTGAGTTTAGCAATAGGTTATGCAACTTAGTAGCATTTCTGAGAACTAAGGCATAAAATGTGCATAGGCCCCAACCCATTTCTTAATGGCCTCCAGACTCTAGTTTTAGTAACTCTCTTAGCAATGCTTATTCCACTTTATTTTCTCCACTAGAGGCCTGGTGCATAAAAGTTCTTGCACTGGAGGGGGGTCCCTAAGCCAGGTCTGTTCCCTCTCACAGTCCAGGAGCCTCAGGGGCAAGAAGCAAACTGGTGATCAGGGGAAGGTGACACCCCATCACACCTCTGCTGCTGCCACTGCCAGCAGCACAAGCCTTGGCTGGCCCTGGTTACCTGAGCCTGGGGAAGCCCTGAGAGGCTGGGGAGCCACCATCTAAGGCTTGCCTATGCCTCAGGTGTCTGCTGGGCAGCTGCCATCCAAGGCTTGCCTATGCCTCAGGCCAGCCCTGGGCGGCTGAGGGGCTGAGGGGACTGGGAGACTCCAGAGGCAGACGAGCAGCAAGGCCAGGCCAGTGGGGCTAAGGGGACTGGGCACTGCCATCTTATGGCTGTGGGCACCACTATCTTTGAGGGACAGCCCTCCAATTAGCATATTCCCCCCTTATTGGCGTTGGGCACCACCATCTAAGAGGGTGGGGCAGTCCATTAGTATATTCCCTCCTTATTGGCTATGGGCACTGCAATCTTTGAGGGTTGGGCAGTCAATTTGCATCTCCTTATTGGCCATCTTTTGCAATGGCGTGAGGGTCAATTAGCATATTCCCTCTTTATTAGATAGGTTTATGATTTTACTTAAATAGGCTTTTTTATTGAGCTGTCCTAGAATGTTATGTTTTTTACATTCCTTTGTTGAACACATAAGGGCTGAGCAACTTTGAAATTCATCTATTTTTAAGTTGAAATTTAGTTGACCTACAGTATACATTAGTTTCAAGCATACAACATAGTGACTTGATATTTACATATCGTACCTATGTGCCCATCATACTAAGTCTAATAATCATCTGTTGATATGAAATTTATAGTGGGAGACCAATATTTTTTATTGTTTTGTTTTTTTGGATAAGAATGGAAAGGAGGGTCTTGTATAATGAAAGCTATTTATACTGAGTGTAGAAAACTAGATTTTAGGGCTCAGAGGGAAAGAATTCTGAAAGAGCATAACTACCTACTTAAAATAATGAATAGGAAAATGTACTTAAAATTTCCACTTAATATGGCAGTATTGATGGGACAGCTAACACAAGAAAAAATAAGAAGAAAAATTGATTGTACTTAATTCCTGTTAAAAGGTAAACCTTCTGAAAACAACATATTTATATTACTTATTTTTTAAAAAGAGATAGTGTTATTTAATGGTTGAAGAGATATATGCTAAAATGGGGTAAGAAAATAAAGTTATGCATTGTAACTCTTTGATCAAGATTTTGAACCTGTGATATTGATAGTATCCTTTTGTCCACCATACCAGTCCATGGACAGATAAATAGACTGCCGTAATAACAAATTGACTTGACTGATGGCATAGAAAAGGGAAAACAAGTATTTGTTTCTAGGATACCTAATATTTGAGGAAAACTAATAAGGAATTAAATAAATTAATGAGGTGATATTTGAGAAGTGATTAAAAGCCTGGACTCAAGTTCTGAACTGAGCCATATACAGCACCAGAAAGGTTGAAAAGACAGATGTATGTCCTGTTTCTCCTCTTTTTTGACCTTTGCTACATTGGAGACAGGGTTTTACTAGCAACAGTTCCTTCATTTGTACTTAAGACCACAACCCTTCTAGCCTATGAAAGCATTCTTTTTAATTTAATGATTTCATCCCCCTCCTGCAGGCATCTGTAATTTATCCGTTAATACTAAGTCATCACCAAATGCATAGCAATATTATTTGCTATATCTTTTTACAAAATCCTAACAGAGCCATTCAAGGGATGGTAGACACAGGAGGCATGATTCATTGGGGGCCATTTTAAACAGTGCGTCACAGTAGTAAGAACAAATTGTTAAGTAAAATATTAAATTACATGACAATGGGTACATGATAATAGTACTCATTTAAGATTATATGTATTTTGGAGAGAGGTTATATGTGTAAAAATAGAATTAGAGAGATACCTAGATGCAAGGATGTTAACTCAAATAAGAATGCTGATCTTGTCTAAGTAGTGTAAATTTGGATGCATTTTACTAGTAATATTGTTTTTTAATACATATATTATGGAAAAAAGTATTCAACAAAAGAATAGTTTTTTCTAGGTGTAAAAGAGAAATGATAAACACTCTCAATGTTTATAGTCTATTTGAAGGTAACTTTTATAAATTTTTTAAATTTACAATAAGGATAAATAGTTTATAATCATGTAAAATAAAAATATTTCATTTTTTTAAAAGTTATGTACCATTTTTCTCCCAAAATGGGCACTGAAAAAAGAAAAAACAATTTCTGGCCAGATATGAGTGAAAGATGAAACAGAGTGGGGGCCGGAGACTGGGATGCCAGGACACAGGCTTTATTGAAGAGAAGAGTACCACTGCCGGCTGCTTCCAGAGAAAGAGAAAGAGGGCAAGAGTCAGGGTACCAGCACCTTTAAGGGGAGGAAAGAGAGGGAACGGGGCTTAGGGCACTCAGCACACGCTGATTGGTGGTTTCATGTAAGGCACATGATTAGGGACCTAGAGACTTAGGAATTGGGGGCTTAGGGTATTTGGCAGTGCTCAGGAATGTCTGGCTGCTGGTGGAGTTTACATCCATCCATCAACCAGAGGAAGGGAGGAACTATCAATGAGTTGTGTTCTACCGATTTTGCCAATGCGGAAATATACAGCCAGAAAAAAAAAAAATAAATAATGAGAACTTAACCAAGTTCCCATTGCTTGCTTGTGGTAAAAATTATAATCCCAAATCTTTTGATTTATTATTCTATGACCTTTCAAATATGTGATGCAGTCTATAATTTAAAATAAACTTTTCATTAGTTGGAAAGTAGATTTTCTTTTTTTAGAAACATTAAAAGAATGTTAGGATGTCCTAATATTTTACCATAGAACAGTGATTTTCAAATAGTGTACCATGGCACACTGGTATGCTACAAGTATCTTTAAAACTTGCCATACCTGACTATTTAGCCAGGATCACTGATCTCTTTTTCCTTACCTTGTCAAATTGTTACAGAGTTCCCAAACAATCAAACAATGCAGGAGGAGAGTTTGGAGAGACTTACTTTATTCATTGCGCAATGGGCTTAGAGAAAATGAATTCAAATGCTAAGCAAGGCTACAAGCAGAACTTCCCTTTTTATTAAAGAGCCAGCCCTGTGTGCACTTAGTGGTTATCTGGATGCTGGCCTTGAAAGCAACACAGTTCTATCCAATTAAGAAATGCACCTGGCATGGCATTGAAATTATGGGCATATCTAGTCTCTGGCCTACAAGGTCATACAGCTAAGTTTATCTTCATCATTATTCAAACAGGCTAAGCAGACTAGAAAGCAAACATTTTTAGAATAAGAGGCCATCTAAAAAAACAGTAGAAAATTTCAAACAGCAGTTTTTTTTTCTTACAAAATAAGGGTTTTCCTTCTCAAAATTAAAAAAAAAATGACAACATAACAATATCCATCTGCTGTAAATGAATCAAAATTATACCTATTTTTTGTCAGGTCAGCAAAAAAAAATATATTTTCTAGTGGGCTGCAGAATTTTGGTAGTTAGCATATATGTGCCATGAGATGAAAACGTTTGAAAAATCACTGCCATAGAGGAAGCATAGTGAAGGTCTGGGAATGGCTCCAGGCCTGAAATTCTAACCTAAAGACACATACATCTTTGATTCCTTGGACCAGACAGTAAAACCCATAGTAACGCTTGAATTGGATATAAGGATATCCTGAGAAGTTTCAAGCAAAAAATAAAGATAAAAATCAGATTTTTTTTTCTCACATGACAAACAGGAAAAAAAATCTTTTGTGTCATTTCCTTGTGAAGTAGCAGAATAAAATTGCCTAAAGAGGTTTTTAGAAAATTATAAAGGCCAACTTTAGCTTTTCTTTTATCTGTTTCTTAATCTAAACATTTTGTTGTTGTTGTTTGTTTTTCAGGTGTTAACAAGATGTATAAGGTGTCAACTATTGTTTTAGTTGTAATTATTGTCGTAATTATATGTGGTGAGTACATGACATACTATATTTCTTCATATTTTCCCCCCTGTTCAGGGCTCCCTATTGAAACAGGAATTTTAGCAGAATATAGGCAGGTCTAGGGAATTTTTAGAATTGGGATCCATGGGAAAACACGGGGCTACCGCTTGGGAGAAGATACATTTCCTTAATACAAGAAAGGCAGGTGCAGTCACATTTCCATAAGACAAGGAAGCAGCAATAGGTACATCTCCATAACACCAGGAAGCCAGGTGAGGGAGCAGCAACAGTTTCATTTACATAAGAGAAGAGAGCTGGAAGTAGCCAAAAGGTCTGTACTTACAAAATAAAGTGGAAGGAAGAAAGCCCAGGAAGAAAAGAGCAATAAGGGAGGAGGGCATCACTTGTCACAAGCGAGGTTCCACGTTTGAGCCTAGGAGTTACCATAGTAACCAGTCTAAGGGAATAGTGACCAATTAGAGGGGCTATCAAGGCACCGGGATCTGCAGCCTTTATAAGCCATAGGGAAAAAGAACTCAGTGGGACCCTTTCACCCTTCCCCCATGTGGGAGCCCATTCTGTGGGACTCTTTCCCTCTCCCCATGTGGGAGTCTATACTTGCTCTTCAATAAATTTCCACCTTTGCTAGACCATCTTCTGTCCGTGGATTCATTCTTCGATTCCGGCCAACAAAGAATCCGGGATCCAGTCCAGAAATCCGGTTTCACTATTAAATGATTCTGTTTGTTTGTTTGTTTGTTTGTTCGTTTTTCATCATGATCTTTTCTTATTATTCTCACTCCTTTCCCATTAGTCACAATATATTTAATGGGTATCAATGAATGAGTTACTAATATGAAGTACATGACCTATGAAGGTATTGGGAGATGCAAAGACAAAATTATTCACCCTGATAATGACAATCTCTATTTTGATTTCTGTTGCATAAGTTAGTTTTGCCCATTTAAAACATTTATCTACATATATAACCTTACCCACCAGCATCCGGTTTACAACTGGTGATTTGATTAATGCCTTTAAAGCAAATGACAATGAAAAACCAATGTGATGATATTTCACCCTTAAGGTTCTGTTTCTCTAGAACCATTTTGGAACCAAAAATTGACTCAAGTCTCCCTGGGTTCAGAAAAGCAGACACTACAAATATTTCAAGACTAGGATTTTTAAAAAATATTTTATTGATTTTTTACAGAGAGGAAGGGAGAGAGAGAGAGTTGGAACCATCAATGAGAGAGAAACACCGATAGGCTGCCTCCTGCACACCCCCTACTGGGGACGTGCCTGCAACCAAGGTGCATGCCCTGGAGCAGAATCGAACCTGGGACCTTTCAGTCTGCAGGCCAACGCTCTATCCACTGAGCCAAACCGGTTTCGGCTCAAGACTAGGACTTTAAAGGAGCTGTGGAGTTATGGTCAGGAAAGCTGTATTGCTGGAGGAAAAAGTCACTAATAACTTTGGCTTAAGCCACCAATAATGTTTTAGAAGAATCCTGAGATTAGAAGAAAGCCTAAGAAGTTAACACATCTAGCTGCCAAAGCTACTCATGAAGAGACCTATGAATTGCCAATGCCCAAGTCTTTAAGAATAATGACTTCTGCTTCACTTTCCCCTTTTAAATCTCGTGTGGGCTCTTTTCATTGGTGAACCCAGAACTATACAGTGATGGTGGTACCTTCTTGACAATAGGCAATCTAACACATGCCTTGTTAGCTGCATATTCTGTTTTATTCTTTCCTTTACTTCCTTAACATTTAACATGCTTCCTGCATTTTTACAGTCTAGTATACGTAGTTAGTATTTTTATTACTTGCAGATAATGCTAGAATTTTATTATTTTATTTATCCATAAATGACAAAGGTGATTTAACACAAGTGAAATTGACACAAATAACCATGGTTACTCTGAAGTGCCTATGAATCATTGAGGTTCTTAAACTATGTATTTATCTCATTTCTAGTTATACCAAGAGTATGGCCATCTACTCAGTCTTTTTGCCCAGATGGTTGGATTGGTTTTCAAAAGAATTGCTATTATTTCTCTAAACAAGAAGAGGATTGGAATTCAAGTAAACACCAGTGTTTTACTCAACATGCTGACCTAACTGTGATTGACACTAAAGAAGAAATGGTAAGTAATCTAATAAATATTCCTTATGAATTTTTTTGTGTGTATGTGAGGGCATTGGAAATATTCAAATTCCATTATGAGTTTTAAAACTTTTTACACAGGCCTATCTTTGTGTACGGAATATTAAAGGTGTTCAAAGCAGGCCATGGAAGACACCTGATGATATTTTATTTGGATAGTGTGGTATATCAAGTTAGTAGACTTGATAATTAACTTCATATTTTAAGGAGTACAAATAGTAGAGCTTAGTAATATTTGGAAACCTTTTAAAAGCCAATAGTCCACAAACAGAGAACTGCTTCAGGATGAATGGAATTCTTCATTTTGCCTACCTCTAACCTCTATTGCTTTGCTATCTGCCTCTGAGGTCCTAACAGCCTCCAACACAGCACTCCCTACTGGTAATGCAATAGGTGTGTAGTTGAAAGTTTCCCCTTAGACCAGAGTATGAGCATCCGGTAAATAAATATTATGCTTTATTTGAAATTGTATCTTTTGCTGTAGCATAAAGACAGATGCAAATAAAAGTTTAATGAATATTTGTTGAATAAATATTATTTTCCATGACAATTTTTTTTAATGTATCTTTATTGTTGAAAGTATTAGAAATACTTTCTTTGTTTGTGTTTCCCCCTCCCCATTGACTCCCTCCACCATGAACTTGCCCCTCCCAGGCCTTCACTACTCTATTGTCTGTGTCCATGGGTTATGCATTTATTCATATAAGTTCCCCAGTTAACCACTTCCCTTCCACCCCCCACCCTGCCTTCCCTGGAACATTTTTTTCTCTTTAGTAAAGAGAATGTCCAAGAATAAGAAATTGTGAAACTCTGTAACTCTGCACTTGTGAAATCTGTTATTTCCCTAAATCACTTTTGCAGTAGACATTTGGTTTTGCTTTTTTTAAATCTCTTTAAAAGGGTCAATATTGTTACAGAGAACTGGAACAATCAAATGCAGGAGAGTTTGGAGATACACTTTATTCACCGCAGTGGGCTTAGAGAAAATGAATGCAAATTCTAAGCCAAGCTACAAGCAGAACTTCCCTTTTTATTAAGGAGCCAGCCCTCTGTGCAATTAGTGGTTATCTCACTGCTGTCTTTGAAAACAAACACAGTTCTAAAATTTATGGGCATACCTAGTCTTGATCTACAAGGTCAGATAGCTAAATTTATCATCCTCATTATTCAAGCAGGCTAAAGCAGGCTAGAAAGCAAAGTTATTTTTTTAGAATAAGAGGCCTAAGAAAAACAGCAGAGAATTCCAAACAGCAGTTTTTACAAAATAAGGGTTTGCCTTCCTCATATAAGAGATAATGTAATTTGATTTAAATATTTTTGTGAATAATGTACAATTAAGAAGCATTTGAAATGTAAAGAATACAGCACAGGAGTCAACATTAGAATTGTATGTTATTTCTGTGGCGAACAATCTATTTATATAATCTGCCTGGTGATTGGTACAAATTTAAATGAATATAAACCAGACTGGGACAATTTACAGATCAGTGCACAGAAACTAAACTATTTTGGATGCAAGAAAAGGTATGGAAATCTGAATAAAATGTGAAAAACAAAATATGTTAAGAGCAGACACAGAAAATAAAATATGCTTTAAATGGAAGAGCTTCTATAAATAATCTCACTCATGAATTTTGCAAAACTCTTATAATGAACATTCTGAGAAATATCTGTACTGCCTTTTACAGTTCCTCTTAAGGAAAAGGAGGTTAAATTACTGGCAAAGTGGAAAAAATAATGAATGTTATTAAAATTCTTGAGGAATAAAGAAAGAACAAGGCATACTGTTTAAACTCTTCACTTACAGGAATCAGGTTGGTAAAGACTGAAAAATAGTGAATATTATGGGACACCAAGAACAGAAGTACACAATAGTTTTAAGCTTAAGGGAAATCATTAAACATAACAAATCATATAAACAGAAGAATGATTATACTATTTGGATTAAAAAAATACTGATCATAAAATATCCTGATGTATTTTGAAGATTGGTAATGCCTGTTATGTACTATATAATCTGGGCAAAATATAAGTGACCAACAGAATGAGGTAAACCTGTCTGTAAAGGAGTGATAAAAGTAATATATGCAATAATTTTAATATTTTTTAAATTAATTTTAGAGAGAGGAAGGGAGAGGGAGAGAGAAAAACATTGATAAATGTCGCAGACTTTTCACAGCAAGGGTTAGGAATCTGGAGAAGGGGTGGCATATAAATGGATAAACTGGACAAGAAATATAAATTTGGAAAGCATTTTGTAAGAGCCAGGGGAGTCTTAGCTCTAGTGACTAAGCTCTCTGAATCTCCAGACCCATGGCTTTTTATTAACACACTAGTGGCCCAGTGCATAAAATTTATACATGGGAAGGGGGGGAGGGGCATAGAGGGGTGTCCCTTAGCCTGGCCTGCACCCTCTCTAATCTGGGACTCCTTGGGGGATGTCAAACTGCTGGCCAGTTTGCCCCAATTGCCCCCCCACTGCCAGCCTGCACCCCCCAACTCCCTCACTGCTGGTCTGCTTACACCCCCCCTCCCCCACCAGCCTGCTAACCCCCAACTATCCCCCCTGCTGGCTTGCTCACCCTTGACTGCCCTCTCTGCCAGCCTGATCCACCCAACTGCCCCCTCTGCCAGCCTACTTGCCCCCAACTACCACCCCTGCTAGCCTGCTCGCCCCCAACTGCACCCCTGCCAGCCTGCTCATTCCCAACTGCCATCCTGCTGGCCTGTGTGACCCCAACTGTTCCCCCCCCCCCCCCGCCACCGGCCTGCTTACCCCAAAGCCCCCAAAGCTGGCCTGCAACCCCCAACTTCCTACCCTGCTGTCCTGCTTGCCCCCAACTGCCTCCCTTCACCAGCTTGCTCACTCCCAACTGTCCCCCCTGCAGGCCTGATCACCCCCAACTACCCTCCCCTCCTGACTTGATTGCCCTTAACCACCTCTACCTTGGCCCCACCACCATGGCTTTGTCTGGAAGGACTTCCGGAAGGTCTCCCAGTCTAATTAGCATATTGCCCTTTTATTAGTATAGATCTCTCCTTTTGATATACAGGTATACATATCAAAGATAAGGTAATGGTAAGGAATAATAGATTATCAGCTTAGGGGAAATTCCTTCAGCCATTCCTCCAGCAGCAGGTAAACAGGGAAAGATTATCAATTTAGGGAATATTTCTACAGCTGTTCAGCAGCAGGTAGTAATATATGCAGATTTTCAGCCCTGCTGAAGCTCCAAGATCCATCAGCCTTCTGATGAACTTCTTGCATAATTATGATCTGCTGGAATTTGCTTCCAGCAGATAAAACATCTCATTGATCAGCTGTGTCCTGCACAGCCCCTTCTGGGGATAGAGTCTGCAACCCCAGCATGCACCCTGACTAAAAATCTAGCCTGAGCCACATCAGCCAGGGAAATAATGTATACAGGAATTTTAAGACTTTATTTTAAAATTTTTTCTAATATTGTATATATTTACATTACAAAATATGTCCCAAGTTAAAAGGAGATAAAACTTATTTCATGAAATATTTTTGTTGTTTATTTCCATCTACTTGAAATTATCTTGCATTTCTAACAATAAGCTATATGGGCACCCCTGTGTTGAACAAATAACAATTAATATTTTTTCATTGGACAGGTTCTAGAAAATGCACCTCCCAGTTGCCTGTCACCAAGACCACAGCTACTGAACATCATACAATTTTCCAATTATTCAATAATTTATGTATACACATATAGGGTGGGCAAAAATAGATTTACTGTTGCAAGTACAAAAAACAGTTTATTTTTACATTACTATTCATTAATTATTGTATTATTTTTCATATGAATATATAGGCATAGGCATAGATCTCCCCTGCTGGTTTCCTAATATATTTTTTTCTGCCTTTAGACAAGCTCTTTGCTAAGAGCTTGACTATGAATGTCTTTTTCTCCCTCATCTTCTATCTGGGTCATGAAATCTTCTCTTCCATAAAAACCAGATACTTCTTTGGTGTAAACTCAAATTTAATTTGTGTTTATTATACTCATTATCTTCCCCTTAACTAATAGGATATTTTCTAACTCTATATTTACATAATTTTTTCTCACTAAATTAAGCCCTTTCAATCTAGGGAGAATATTTTATTAATCTGTTTCTTTGTAATCTCAAAGTTTAGCTCAATGAAATGAACTTTTTGAAAATAAATTTATAAAATGCTGCAGAGGATGGCATATTAAAGTGAGGCTACTTTGACACTGTTACTAGTATTATAATAGATAGAAATGGACCATGAGTATTGTGATTTGTCATAATTCCTTTATATTTATCATTAACTTGAAGCATGGAGTTATATATGGTAAAGCTGAAGGTTTCCCTGGTATGTACTCAGTAGCAGAGAAGACTCCATGACTTGAAAATGAACTCAGTTGTAACAGTGAATGAATAAGAAGGAGAAAAGAAGAAATATCAGGAAAAAATATAATTTCCTTGAATGATACCTTTAAAAATTAAAATATCTGCAAAAAATACAATCTAATAACTAGATTATAAAAGAACTAGTTATCTGAGGGGGGTGTGTGTGTGTGTGTGTGTGTGTGTGTGTGATAATAATTTTGGGAGAGAAGTTGAAGTAAAATATAACGTAGAATTCAATATACCTAGTAATTGCTAGGAACAGTAAAACCATTATAGTAAATATGTGATGATTAAAATGGGATTCATAACAAACAGGATTTCCATAAATTTTGTTTAAAAATACTGGAGGAATAGATTTTCATATTGAAAAAATTATTAACTTGGAGTCAGAAAGTATCTGAAAGAAAATGTATCTCACATCTTTGTTTCATAAATAAGAAAACTGAGAGTCAGAGAGTAAAATATTTTTTATTTTCTGGTATAGCTTGGAGTTGAACATTTGTCACCTTGCTCCTCACAATATGCCTTAGTAAAAACTGAGAAGTAAAATTATGAAATTTTTTTTGTCTCTAAAGAATTTTCTAAGACAACAAAAATGTATTCATGATCTCTGGATTGGGTTGGAGATGACAGAAAATCAATCAGGAAAATGGGTAAATGGAAGAATATTTAACAAACGGTGAGTTTCTTTCTTTCTGAGATAATTTAAATTCAGATGGTGCAACCAAAGAAACCATGGGTTAGCTATAGTTCTCTAGAGCTCAAGATTTGAGCACATGTTAAAAAGATGAAATGGGAAGATTGTATCAGTATTAAGATTAACTCCAGGAGTCAACCAGAGAGGCTGGGAATCAAGATATAAGAGGAATCCTCAGTCTATTGCATGGGGAGGACATGGGAATGTGGAGGAAGTGGTAAGGGGAGGAAAGGAGACATTTGTAATACTTTAAACAAAAAAGATAAATTTTAAAAAGAGAACCTGGATTATAGCAATTAATAAATATTTACTGTTGTTAATTTTATTTAAAATATATATACAGAAGGGGAAGATCTTGTACTTGTTATTTTGAAAATGAAGACCTAAAAGTCACAAATAGAGTCCAAACAAATTTAAACTTTTGCCTGATTCTAAATTATCTTTTCCAATTCTACATCTATTTTTCAAGCTTTGTGCTACCTGTTTGCTGACATATTTTACAATTCATGATCAATTTGTTATTTATTTTAACTTGGTTTTATTTGCATCGATAACATAATTTATCCTGAGCTTTGTATCTTTCATTTTACAATAAGAAAAATTGGATCAAAAGACCTGAACTCACTGCACATGTGATCTCAGTGTAACCAACCCAAATGATGACTGCCATCCAATTCACCACTTCAGTGTTTTTTTGTTTTTGTTTTTTAAATACATTTTATTGATTTTTTACAGAGAGGAAAAGAAAGGGATAGAGAGTTAGAAACATCGATGAGAGAGAAACATCCATCAGCTGCCTCTTGCACACACCCTACTGGGGATGTGCCTGCAACCAAGTTAAATGGCCTTGACTGGAATGTAACCTTGGACCTTTCAGTCTGCAGGCTGATGATCTATCCACTGAGCCAAACCAGTTTTGGCTCAACACTTTAGTTTTTATTCAATTTTCTCAATAGCAACACAACTGACACATTGGACTGAATAATTCTTTGTTGTGAGTGTGTGTATGGGGGGGGGGGGGGCACTTTCTTGTGCATTGTAGGATCTTAGCAGCACCTCTGATTTTTACCCACTCCATTGGTGACAACCAAAACTGTCTCCAATTATTGCCAAGTATCCTTTGTGGAAGGTGGGGGGGAGGCAAAATTGCTGCATGTTAGAACCATTGATTTATATAAACTGGGAGTTCCATTCATTACATATAATTCACTTAATGTAATTTAATAAACATAAGTGCTTGGAGGACAGACTCTTATGGTCCAGTTTGGTGCAGATATCTTAACCCTAGCAAGAGAGTACTACTGGTATATCACAAGTACACATTTTTATGATTCTGGGAGATGTTTTTTAAAGGTGTTATTGGACAAGGGAGAAATTATAGGACTCCCTAGTACATAGTGTTTAATGTACTCTCTCCATTATAGGTTTGATGTGAGAGGAAATGGAAAATGTGCTTACCTCAGTGATGATGGTGTAGCAACAGCTAGATGCTACACAGAAAGAAAATGGATTTGCAGGAAAGAAAAACTACTACATAAACCTTTCTGATCATGGCTTATATAACTGTAGGTAATAAAGGTTTAATATCTGTAACCTTTTTTTTTCCTTTCCCTCTGTATAACTTCACTTTTGTTAAATTTCTTCAACTTACTTTTTTTTACTTTTCATATGTCCTGGATCTTTGCTTTTCTATATCAATTTTAGAAAAATCTTATAATTTTACAGGATCTATAGGTCAGTGAAGGCAGATTTATATTTATAACTTTATGTTCTTATTAATTTACTAGAGGCCCAGTACATGAATTCTTGCATGGGTGGGGTCCCTCACCCAGCCAGGCTATTGGGGCCAATGGGCACCACGGGAGGTTGGCTGGCTGGGGAGAGGGATCACAGGAGGTTGGCTGTGGGAGTTCACTGACCACCAGAGGGCAGCTTCTGCATTGAGCTTCTGCCCCCTGGTGGTCAGTGTGCATCATAGCGACCCTTCGTTAGGTCACTTGGGCTTTTATATATAGAGATAATATGTATTTTTTTTATTTTATTATCCTCACCCAAAAGAATATTTCCATTGATTTTTAGAGAGAGTGGGGTGGAGGGAGGAAGGGCATCAGAGAGAGACACCAATTGGTTGCTTCCTATGTGTGGCTCTATTGGGGCCAGGGAATGAACCCACAACCCAGACATGAGCTCTCACAATTTTGAATAGTCAGTGGATTATTTTAAATGCTACAAAATATAACATTTAAAAATAAGCTTTATTTTTTCCTGTGTTATAACTATTGTTTATTTCTTGTCTAGTGAAAAAGGGTAAGACTTCCAGAAAGTTATTAATGGGAAATAGTGTAGACTTGTTTGACATTTTAAGGGAAATGTTTCAAATATTTCAACATTAATGGTGCTTTATCTAATTTTTAACTGGGAATTGAGCCCTCAACTCTTTGGTGCATGGGCTAGCACTTACCTCTGAACAGCACTGGCCAGCGCTGTAATATGTATCTTCTACTGATGTTTGTCTTCTTATGTAATTTACAATTTTTCTAAACAGTTACTGAAAATTATTTACTACATGCATCCTTATTTTATAGATATATCATTTTTCTCCTATTGGAGTTATCTAATTTTGTTGTCTTTTAAATTATAGAAATATAACTGCTTTTGATTATTTTTCTGTTCAACACCCATGCTGAAAGCTCTCACAATTTCTAATAATCTGTGGATTATTTTAAATGCTATAAAGCATAGCATTTAATAATAAGCTTTATTTTTTCCTGTGTTACAACCATTATTTCTTGTCTAATAAAAAAAGGGTAAGACTGACAGAAAGTTATTGATGGGGAATAGTGTTGACTTGTTTGACATTTTAAGGGAAATGTTTCAAATATTTCTACACTAGTGGCGTTTTATCCAGTTTTTAAAAATATAATTTTAAAGTGAGTTTTTTCTTTTTTTCTTTTTTCTTTTTATCATTGACGCTATTACTACCATCAGTGAATCAACAAACAAGATGTGGAGGAAAGAGAAGCTTCTAAAGTCTGCATTCCCACCACTTTGGAAAAAATTATGGAGTTTCCTTTGACCTAGAGATCCATCCCACTACTGGGAATATGTCCGAAGAAACCAGAGGAAACAGTTTGAAAGAACGTGTGCACCCCTGTATTTACTGAAGCGTTATATTTTTTATTATGTTTTTACTGATTGCAGAGAGAAGAAGGAAAAGGGAGAGAGAGATAGAAACATTAATGATAAGAATCACTGATCAGCTGCCTCCTGCATGTTCCCTATTAGGGATCGAGCCCACAACCTGGGCATGTGCCTTGACCAGGAATTGAACACTGACCCCTGGTTCATGGGTCGATGCTCAACACAGAGCCACACTGGCTGGGCAAGAACTACCTTTATTATTATTATTATTTTAAATATTTATTGTTTTTTTGTTTTGGAGAGTTTTTTTTAATATATATTTTTATTGATTTCAGAAAAGAAGGGGCAGGGAGAAATAGAAACATCAATAAAGAGAGAGAATCACTGATTGGCTGCCTCCTGCATGCCCCATACTGGGTCAAGCTGCTTTGTTAGCAGTGGCTGCTATGTTTACGAGAGCTCCTATGTTCACTATTGTGTTAGCAGAGGCTGCTCTGTGCAGCTACTTGGTGAGGCTACTTTGAAGAACTGTTTTGTCTTAATGGCTCCTTGTTAGCAATGGCTACTTGGGCTACAATGCTCTCCCATTGAGAAGTCTAAAAGGCTAATTCCAATGTAACTTTGTACGGTTCGAGGAGCAGGAAACAGGAGTCAGGGACCGAAGCACGTTAAAGAGAAAGTTTATTCCACCTTAAGGAGCAAGGTAGAAAAAAATAGGATTAGAGGAGAAGGAGGAGGAAAGGGGTGACTCGCTGAGAGAACAGCAACAAGTGCAGCAGTGAGCATGCCTTTTGAGGGGAGGAACAGGAAGAGGTGGGACCCAGGAGACTCACACGTGCTGATTGGTGGTTGAATGTCTCAGGAAGGTCCAGGCCCAGACGCAGGTTAGGTCTTACTCTGCCCACCAGTTGGGGGGAGGGAGGCTCTATCATAACCATGATGTTTGGGGGACTAACAATCTGAATCTGTGCAGTAACCTAATGTGCATTCTTGATAACCTATAAATGAGTCACTGCCCTTTCCTCCATAATCTGGTCTTGAAAGACCTATTACCTAAATGCTCACATTTTACAGAGGTCATAGACCATGAATAATACATAACCCCCAAAGGGGGTTATCAGTGCTGGCACCAGGCCAGGCCCTAAGATTGACCCCCATCCCAACCCATGGGGCTTTTTGCAAAGCCCAGGAAAGGTCCGGAAATCCCCATCCATATTTGGAGGACGAAGAAACCAAAAGGGGATAAAAGAAGGACTTTCACCATATTGGTTTGTTCAGACTTTGGAGGCAACTCCTCTGAGACTGCTGAGGTAATAAAACTGTGTAACTCCATTTTTCTAAGCTCTCTTGGATTTTTTTAGTTTTCTACAATCCCATATGCCCATGACTTCTCATATTTTCTCCATCTAATACCCATTGTCTGCAGGGGTACAGACCCTGGCAGAAAAGGACCTGTGGGAACAGTTGGCCCAGCGAGCAGGTCAAAGAGTAAAGACTCGGATACTTGGCATCAGGAATAGGATTTGGGGATAAGTGTTCCATCTCCCCCACTAGAGGTCATGTTTCCTCCAACCAAGCTGTAGTATCTGGAGGTTGGACTAAATAGTCAGGTATTGTATGTTTTAAAATTTCTGAAATGCACCAATTGTAAACCTCTGGGCTAGAACATAAAGACCAGTTCAAATATTGGCAAAAATGATTATTGGTATTCTACTGAGGCAATTACCATTAAAAAAAAATACAAACAAGCAAAGGATGGTGGAGATCAGGGACAGATGTCACCTTGAAGGGCAACTCTTGTGATTCAGTTTGGAACAATTTGATCATCAAAATAGGAAATTATCAGCCATAGAGAAGAAGGCAATTTCACTACTTCACTTCTCTGCTATTCCTGCAGAGGAGGCATAACCTGAATATAACCATGAGAAATAATAAGACAGATTCAAATTGAAGAACATTTTATAGAATCAACAGCTTGTAGTATTCAAAAGATCAAGGTCATGAATGTGAAAGAAGACTAAGGAACTCTTCCAGATGGGAGGAGATTAAATAAACATTTGAACTGGCTGTTTTACTCTAAGGAACATTATTTTGATAATTGGCGAACACTGAAGGTAGGCCGAGAATTAGTTGGTAGCAATGTTAATGTGGATTTGGGTCGTTGTATTGTGATTAGGTAGAATATTTTTGTAGGAAATATACACAGCATTATTCAATGATACCTGAAATTTCATAATTAAATACATCAGTTTGACAACTAATTCTCAAGAGGTTCAAGAAAAATATTTAGATCTTTATTCTGTACCCACAATCTTCTTGAAAGTTTAATAGTTTCCAAGTTTAGATAAAACTTTTATAAAATCTAAAGTAAACAAAGAACATGTTTAACACTTTTACCCAGAATTTCCAATTTTAAGGTTTATATCATCAAAAAAAGTGCTATTATTTAAGAAAATATTTAGAATATGTATTGAAACAGTTTATAGTAGCAAAATCCTAGAAACAAAGTTAATGTTCATCAATAAAGGAGTAGAGAATCTATAAATCCACACCATAATGCAACTCAGGACTATATGAAATTTGCATAGAATATTGTTAATAATAAAAAGGCAAAATACAGAAAAGCAGACATAATAAATGAAAAATGAAATTTAAAAAAATGAATAAAATGAAAAAAAATGAATTTAAAATCCTGAATATAAATACATGGGTTTACACTAGATTATAGTATCACATTAAAAAAACTAGAAAAGTTATACTGCAGATTATAAGCAGGTGTTATTTTGAATCTAGGATTAATATGGGTGATGAAGGGAAAATGGAGAAAAGATTTTGGTGTTTAATTCCAGTTTTTAATTCTTACTCTTGAAGATTAATTTTAGAACCTAATCGGCAAAAAACTTTGATAACTGGTTATCCCACTATAATTCATTTTTTAGAATATTAACATTGACAAATCCATTTGAAAACACTGCTGCAGGTTTCAGAGTAAATTTTGTTTCCCTTGATGGCAGCACAGCTGTTTTTGGTAGCTGGTCCTTTTATGACGAATCTGCAGAAGAGAGGATAGATATGTTGTTAATAATTGCTGCTGAAGAGATCCATTTGTATTTGCAGCTAATGTCCTCAAAAGGACATTAGGTAATTCAAAATTTCAAGGCATTTGCAAATACTTCGACTCACTAAACATTACCATATCTCTGTAACTTAGTATTAGTATCTGATTGGCTGAAAGTTATCAGAGAGTTAGTTTGCAAATGATAGAGCTAAGAATAAATGTGTGCCCACATTCCCATTTGAGTGTTTTTGGCATTGTTCCATGTGGTCCTTAGGTTTAAAAAACAACAACAACAACAACAACAAAAAACCGTCAAGTCACATGAACAACTCACTTAACTTTTGTGGCTGGCTTCTCATATCAACATGTACAATGGCATTAATAATATTTGCCTCATGATACTATTAATATTATGAGGTTAAATGAACTAATATTTTCATAGAACTTTGTACACAAACTGACCTATATAAACTTTAACTAAATTATACATTTATTGTATTATCTACGACGTGCACTGACCACCAGGATCAGACGCTCAATGCAGTAGCAGAAACATGGAACCGACTGATGAATCTCAAAGGGAATGGGGGAGGGGAAAGGATGGGAAGAGATTAACCAAAGATCTTATATTAGATCTTATACTAGAGGCCCAGTACATGGATTCATGCTCCAGTGGGGTCCTTTGGCCTGGCCTGTGCTCTCTAGCCATCCAGGACCCCTTGAGGGATGTTGGGCTGCTGATTTCAGCCCGATCCCTGCAGGCCAGGCCAAGGAACCCCCCCACCCCCCAGTGCATGAAACTGTGCGCCGGGCCTCTAGATTATCCATAAAGAAGAATGATAAATACAATTCTAAAGTTACCTATAAAATACTATAATGTTAGTGATTTTATTCTGTTAGGAATTTATTTAAAATTAGGAAAAAGTTTAAGAAAGAATCGTGGAGAAAATGTACAGAGTCAAGAAAACTTTAAAATTAATAAGGAGCAACTAAGTGCTGGATTTTCATATTTGGAAAATACTCCGTTTCCAAGTTTATGTTTGAATTTTACATTGAACAAATTTGGAACAAAAATCCCCAGGCATGGTCTAAAAGTTAAAACTAAATCTTGTAGGAAGTGTTGAGTGGATTTGGCAAGGAAAACTAAGCACCTTCCTTGGTGATCAGAGTGTTTAGTGTTACAACCCTACCCTCGGATGATACCGTCTCATAATTTTATTCTCCATTCCAATAATGTCTTTGATCGACTGGCTTAGATTAATTCATTTAGTGCAGTGAGAGCACAGTGGACCGCAGGACCCACCAGTGCGCAAATCCATGCACCAGGCCTACAGTCCTATCTAATAAAGAGAGAATGTGCTCATTGTGATCACGCCCTCACAAAGATGGCAGCGCCCTCAGCCAATAAGGAGGAAATCTGCTAATTGAGTGCCACATTCTCAAAGATGGCAGTGCCCACAGCCACTAGATGGCAGCACCCACCCAGTTCCCTCAGCCCCACTGGGGTGGCAGGCACACAGGTGCCCAGGACTGGCCTGTGGTGCAGGCAAGCCTTGATGGAAGCTGCCCAGACACCCAGAGCCAGCCCAAGGGATGACTAAATGACTGAACAAGCAGGCTGCATGGGGCGACCAGGCCAGCAGGAGGGCAGTGAGGGGTGACTAGGCTGGCGGGTGGGGAGGGGGGAGGATTTGAGAGGAGTAAGAGGTGACCATGCCAGAAGGGGGGGGGGGGGTACAGTTGAGGGTAACCAGGCTGACAGGGGGGAGAATTGGGGGTGATTAGGCTGGTGGTGGGGGGCAGTGAGGGGTGACTAGGCCAGTGGGGGAAGAGAGTAGTTGGGGGCGACTAAGCAGGTAGGCAGGTGAGCGATTAGGAGCCAGTGGTCCAGGATTGTGAGAGGAATGTCTGATCCCTGGCCTAAACTGGCAGTTGGACATCCCCCAAGGGGTCCCAGATTCCAGAGGGTACAGGCTAAGCTGAGGGGGACCGCCCCCCCCCCCCCATGCACAAATTTCATGCACTGGGCCTCTAGTATGCATATTAGATCTTTG